TATCGAGAATATCTTTCTGTCGGGGAGATAAACGATAACAATTGGACCTCACGGGTTCCTCGGAAGTCAACTCAATGTCGTGCTCAGTCAAATCAGTCCGACCCGGCTTGTCAACAAAGCAGTCGTCAAACTCTCCTATCAGCCCGCAAAGATCCGAAAGCTGGGATTCTTTTAGTTCCTTTCTTTGCTTAGTTTTATTAAGGAGTTCTTTAGCGCTGCCTTTCCCTCCATTTAGACAAACAAAGTTGTCCTCCATCTCCTCAGGAAGATTTAGGGTCATATTCACCACAGCCTCTCTTTGCACATAAGGCTTCATTAGGTTGCAATGATAAATGCGTACCTCTTTACGTCTACCTGGAATTTTTACTGCGTAGTTGGTCATAGATAGCTTTGCAACTACTTCCGCAGGCCCTTCCCACTGTACTTCGAGCCTGTTCTGCCTTGACGCTTTTAACAACATGACCCGGTCCCCTATATTGAAAGTTCGTTGACGAGCTGTTCTATCATAGTAAACTTTTGATCGGGCCTGGGCTGACTTCATGCTGACCTCCACAAGTTCTTTGGCCTTATATAGCCGCTCCAGTAGATTGAGAATGAACTCTACCACGGTCGGATCTTCTCCGTGTCCTTCCCACGCTTCGCGCACCATTCTCAAAGGTGAGCGCAATGACCTACCGTACACCAACTCGGCGGGGCTAAAACCAGTGGATTCGTGGGGTACCGTCCGCAAAGCAAAAAGTGCCGCTGGGAGGCATGCATCCCAGTCTCGTTTGTTCTCGTAACACAATCCTCGAAGGACGCGCTTCAGGACGGAATGCCATCTTTCTACGCTATTGCTCTGAGGGTGATGAATAGAGCTGTGCACTATTTTTATGCCACATCGTTCGAAAAAAGAGGTCGTGAGGACACTAGTGAATACGCTGCCCTGGTCACTCTGTATCTCTGTAGGAAACCCTACTCGCGAAAAGACGGACAACAGGGAATCCACAACACTCTGTGACGTAACCTCACGCAGTGCCACTGCCTCAGGAAATTTAGTGGCTGGGCATAACATAGTTAGAATGTAACGACATCCTGTCTTTGTCACAGGGAGTGGTCCCACTATATCGATCACTAACCGTTGAAACGGCTCGGTAATGATCGGCACTAACACCATAGGTGCTTTACACTTATCCTGCGCCTTTCCAACTCGCTGGCATGTGTCGCACGACCGCACAAAATTTTCCACGTCTTTGAAACAGCCAGGCCAGTAATACTCTTGTAATAGCCTCAGCTTAGTTTTTCTGTGTCCAAGGTGACACGACCACGAACTGCCATGTGAAAGTTTGAGCAGATCTGCGCGATATTTCTGGGGAACGACTAGTTGGTCTCGTTCCACTCCGCGCTTATCCCTGTATAAGCGATACAACACGCCATTCTTCAGATGGAAAGAAATATTTTTCCTGGCCTGTTTACTCGTTCTTTGGCGCTCTCTAATCTCCTGAATGGTGGCATCCTCTAATTGCTCAGTGGCCAAGTTATCCCTGTTTGCACTCAGAAGTAAAGTAAAGCTATTTGATGCTGGTGGCAGTAACGCACACTCAAGTTCATCATCACGAGATTCCTTCTCCGGATGACCGATCTCTGGTGCCTCGCTGCCACGGTTGCCTGAAATGTCTTCCTCTGTTTGCACCACTGTTACGTCATGCGCTTCCTCAGTACTATCTGGCTCCGAGGATAGCTGAGTTGCCAATTTTCGCACCTTCGAACGGGTTAACGCTTGAACTACCCTGTCACCGAAGAGAATGCCCTTCTCTCGCAATAACATATCCGATTTGTTTGAGAACAAGTACGGATAAAATTTAGGGAGTTTTTCTGAAACTGCTGCCTCAGTTGTTAGTTTACCAAAGGGGCCCTCAATTACAACGGTTGCGACAGGCAAGCATACGCTCTGCTCTTCCACCACCTGGCGGATCCACGAGCACTGTCCTGTGTAGTCGGATGGTGACACAAACGACGGGTGGACAACATCCATTGTTGCTGCCGAGTCACGCAGCACTTTGCATGGCTTTCCATTCACCACCAGGTCATGCATGTAAGGCTCCAGTAACCTCATGTTTTCTTCGCAGTCACTGACAAATGAAAACGCCATCTTTTCCTTTCGGCAGTTCGCGGCTATGTGACCAGTCTCATTACACTTGAAGCAAGTGAACGGTTTCTTAACCTCAAAAGCATTTTCGCTTTTCCCGCGTTTTGCCCTTTTTCGCCAGGTTCACCATCGTCCTTCTTTTGAAATTTGTTAGAAGAAACACTTCTTTCGCCTTTTTCATGTCGAGAGCTCGAAAAATGTTTTACGTAACCTTTACTTGAATTTGGCTTGGAATTGTGGGCTCCATCTGCACCCAGGTTATTGCTAAAATATCGTCGCGACGCATACTCCTCCACGAGTTCAGCAGCTGTCGTCGCAGAACTTATGTCACCCCGGTCCAGTAACCAGTTTTTTTCCTGCTCTGGGAGACAATTCAAAAACTGTTCTAATAGAATTCTCTCTACTACAGCGTTCTTGTCACTGTATGACTCTGTGCTCTTAAGCCATTCTGTCAAATTCGCTCTCATTTTGTACAAAAAGTCGGGATAGCTCTCGCTTTTAGACTTTCTAGCGCCCCTAAATCTTTGTCTAAAGGCCTCTGCGCAAAGTCTATACTTTCTTAGAAGGCAAGCCTTGACCTTCTCATAGTTGTCTGCGTCCTCCTTGCTGAGTCGCGCAACAACCTCTGCTGCCTCGCAGGGCAGAACCGTGAGTAGCCTTTGGGACCAGGTGTCCTGCTCAAACGACATTTTCTCGCACATCCGTTCGAAATTTGCCAGGTACAGACCAATATCCCCTGACACCACGTATGGCTGGATGTACTTAGACATCTTGAACTCGGCCTCCCTGTGGGGAAGAGCTATCATTTCCTGGGGACTGCTACCCGACCTCTTTCCCAACTCGAGTTCTAGTTTACGCATCTCGATTTCATGCGCTTGTCTTTGTGTTTCACGCTCTCGGTCTAAGCGACGTTCCTCTCTCTCAGATTCCCGTCTTTTTGTTTCACGCTCTCTTTCGCGCTCACGCCTCTCTTCCTCCTCCTTCTGCTCTCTCTTTCTCTGACTGATGAGGTCCCATGCTTCACTGAGCTCCTCATCCTCAGCCCCCAAATCATTAATGACTTGTGTGATTATGGGTTTCCGTGCCAAACCCTTTGTATTGATCCCCAATTCCTCACACAACAGCAACAAGTCCGGCTTCTGCAGCTCCCGTAAGTTCATGATCGTACTGAGTGCTCGCTACTTCCAAAATAACTTTCCGAAACGGCGAAACTGAGTCTTTCGGCAAAGTTAACTACCAGTTCTAAAATTCAGCCTCTTTTAGAACCTGGTTCACTCAAAGGAAAAGCCAAGCACTCACCCATACGTGATCCATGTCTCGAGCCAACTGCTTCTCTTGGGCCGACTGTTGTTGTCACTTGTAGCTTCGAATCCCTCCGCTGCCAACCAGTCGTCGGGAATCCCACCGATGCCAACCAGTTGTCGTGATCCCACCGCTGATCACCAGTTGTTGTGGCTCGGGGTGCTGTGGTAGCATGGTAGCTTCGGGTTGAGGAAACGAGCGCTTACAAGATGGGGATACGAAAAACAAACAAGGTTTATGGCACTATTTACAAATATTTACAGCATGAGGTTAAGAGTTCACAAACCACGAGCGTGGTGGTTAAACCTTTTCTTGGTTCAGAGCGACGTCCTGCACTCTGCGGCGCCGTTATAAGCCCTGTCGGGCTCCTCCTTCTTCAGTCGAACACCAATCACATACACACAACAGGTGAGGGGTACGAGCAGGCACGGCGCACGTGAACAGCCAATTTCGAGTCAAGATCACTGCACTTAAAGGTGGCGCCAGAGGGGCTCTTGCTCGTCGTGTGTGTCGCTGGTCGAGGGATCCCAAGCTTCGGACAGCAGAGATCAAACGGTCCGCCAACCTCTCTGCTCAATTAGCAGGGCATTCTGTGGCGGCGGTCACCGTTTCTACAAAGGAAGACGCTGTCTTTGTTGTCCCCTCTGGAACGGCTTACCGCTTCGTGGCGACGTGACGTCTCATCCGCCGGCTAACAGTGACAATACCTGGCGGGCATAAGCATTCGGCGAGTCGGCTACTTGTTTGAGGGTCAAAAGAGCGCCGCTCCCCCGTCAGATCTCGACGCTGGTTCCAAGAAAACCTGGGTTCCAGGCGTGGGAACGCGGCCCGGCTACGCTTCTCAGCGACAGCATGGCGCCTACCGATGGCGGTCGTAACAACGCTACGATTGGTGAGAATGTCGCCGCCGAGTATTGTGACACTTGTGAAGAAAAAATTAGTGGTGGCAATGGGAATATGTGGTGAGGTGCTGATAGGGCGCCGAAAATTGCTGTATGCGCCGTTTAGTCCGGGGATGCCATCCGCAAGCAGCTATAGCATTATACTGCTTCGCTGCAAGAGCTGAGAACCTCGTCTTAACGCAGGGCCGTAAATCATGAGGAGGTGAGGGGGGGGGGGGGGTCCTGATTTTTTCCTGAGCCCAGGCTGGGGGTTGACACCCATCATAAGGACCCTACTTAAAATTTATATTTCAATATTTCAAATATGATATATCCTAATGGTTTGATAGTTAGGTATAGCGGGTTCAGCATTTTAATGCACTTTATTTTAGCGTGTAACACAAATCAATGCCTCTCAGCTATGGAATGCTAGTGAAATCGTAAGTGGCGCTCTATTGGTTTTAGAGAAGAGAACAATGTAATTACTCGAATAGAGAAACAATGTTCGTTTTCAAAATTGTTTTCTTGGTGGGATTTTAATTTTTTTATATGGGCAAGAGGAAAACAGGCATTCATAAAACAAAATGGCTGCCATGACCAGAGTGTTTGTTCCTCTTTGTGATTTTTATGGATTTGCGACTGTTTAAACACCGTTCTTTTTCTCGTCTACGCTTCTCTATTTTTCACAGCTCGATGACCAAGAGGAAGAGATTCAAGTCTGGTGCGCCGGCAAGGATTGCCTTTACACAGTGTACGTGGGCGCTAGTACGCAGCAACTAAAGTGCACACTGTGCGATCGCATCACGTGCCTGAAGTGTCAGGCTGTGCACGAGTTCCAGACTTGCGACGCGTACGCGCGAGATCGCCGTCGGTCGAACGTCCCGCTGCCGGAGGAGGAAAAGACGACTGGCGGCGACGGCGAGACCTACGCGAAGGAGGAGTCCGCAGTGGAAGGCAACAGGGCTGACGAGAACGAGTCGGGCGACATGCCGCCACCTTGCGCCACCTCTGCGAGAGAACCCATGGGCCGAGAAGCATCGAGGCAGAAGGAAGCGCTCGTTCAGCAAGCAGCGAACAATGTAAGCAATGCCAAATTAAACAAGTACAACGTGGGCAATAAGATAGCACCTAATAAGAACTTGTTGTTGGGCGAGCTGGCGATTGCCTAACGTGGTGATTTTAGCGCTATACAAAAGCCGTGCACGTCTGAGAGACAGGCGACAGAGGACAGCGCCTGTATGTCGTCTCTTTTTCACATATGTACGGCACTTGTATAGCGCTGAAATCGCCATTATATGTAAACTAGATATAACATTTTTGGCAAGAAAAACCTCTCTAGTGCACAAAAACTTTCAAGAAACTGAAGGAGAGTGAACCACCATAAGAATGCCTTTTCACAACGCCCATGCCTATCGGCATAATTTAACAATGTGTTCGATGAAATTGCTTGCTGGCTTATAAAATTCTGGCCGTCCAGAGGACCCGCGTGAGGATGGTCTGGTTTAACGTCACTGTCCCAGAGTGGGCCTCGGCAATCAACGTCAAGGTTACTCGTGTCTAATTGTGGACCAAATAATGCTGTTTCACTCACTCATTCTTTGTCTGAAAGATGGAGATACTGGGTACTTATAGAGTATGTCGAACTAGCTGACTTTTACAGAACACACACTTGCACTGGTAGTTCAAGTCCTATTAAGGGACATATTTTCATCGCACCTATTTTTTTTTCTGTCGCTTGTGACTCGTCAGCGTGATGTAGTATACGAGAACGTGAAGTTCTGTTACGGTTGCGAAGAATTACGTTTTGCTTTTTGTCTGCAGCCTCGCCCCAGCGAAACAGCGTCGGAGCATCCCCAACCGAGGGCAAGTCAAAATGAGACTGTCGCCGCACCGCGGGTAACAGCGTCGGAGCGTCCCCCACCCCGAGCAAGGCACACTGCGAGTGTTGCGGCACCGCCAGTAGATGCCGTGGTGGTCGAGTGTTGCGCTTGCGCAGTTGAGTCAAATATTGAAAAAATCATAGATGTCACCGAATGCGGCCATTTGCTCTGCAGGTAAGACGATAAGCAAACCTCTATCTCCTTCTATAGAGATTAAAGTAACTTGATTATTTCGTCGGTGAATACACGCCTATTCTCTTGGTGCAACTGGCCCCGAAAATTAATGAGGTCTTGCAACATGTTTTTCAACATGGCCTTAAAACTGCGACGATTGGTGGTCGGGGCTCCCTAGAGCACGCGAACCACAGAATATGGCGCTGCACGCGGACTAGAATTTACTCCTGATTCTGAAAATTCGCTCGAAATCATCCAGTTAGCTAATTCTACAAATTATTTCACGCGCTCAATTTACCGCATCATATATCCAATATTGCGGCTATTGGCTGATATATGCATCGTGAGCTGTATAGTTAGCGAGGCCGCCGCAGTAGGCCGCCACATGCCCACGTGCTCGCTCGCGATAACAGGGAACGTAAGCCGCCCATTCGCAAAAAAGAAAGTGCTAAACGTCATGATGTGCGCGTGACGTAACTTCCTTGGCCTGAGCTATTCAACCTTGCTTAGCATCCAGTGCACTCTTCAGGACGAGGGAAGACAAAAGTGCAACCGTGCGGCAAGTCACCATCTCCCCTCGTACTTAACAGATTAAGAAAACAATTAGCGGCAGTCGATTCGTGAGTCAATAAACTCCTTTAATGAAGTCATTCGATGGTTATTGAAAAAGGTGTGGCAGGACCTCTTAGAATGATCTGAGACTTTGTACCCCTGTATGCTTAACCATGGCCTCTGGATTGAAACGTACATACATAGATTGTTTCCATCCAGTGCCTGTGGTTCAACATATACCTAATGCCTTAGTTCATGGCAATGTTAACTACTTATGGTATTAGCCAGCTTACTTTGGGATACAGAGTTTAGCCTGAGGCATGTATCTTGCTTTGGCCTGCTCTTCTGTCGTGAAGACCCGAGGTCAAAGGCAGTGTTGATAACAAAATTGCACCACATGCATGGCAAGAAATCATGCATCAAAAATTGACATGTATTTCAAAGGAATCGGCAAGGATTAATGAAACGATGATTAACGAATACGACTTTCTCAAGGAAGAAGTAAAAAAAAATCATCACCCACTAGCCGTAACAACGGTAAGGTGGGCTTATTTGTTTTCAAAACATGACGACAACGGACCACCGAATAAAGTTATTGATAAGTGAACTCGCGATTGCTACTCAGTTGCGCGTTGTTTTGTTTCACACCATCAGTGTAACGTCGACGTCGTCTCTGCAGGGAGTGTGTTCACGCAACAGCAGTGGGCTCACTCACATACATCGTGCATTGCCCTGTCGCCACAGAGACGGGAGTTTCCTGTGACGCCTACATCCAAGAGTCAGCCCTAAAATCTGTAAGTACCTATACTGAGCTAAGCGAACAGAGCAAAAAAAAAAAGTGGTCGTTTTTTATGACAGCTTTCGATATTTTTTCATAAGCAATCTTTTGTGGATCGATATGACTAATAAAAAAGTACCCTTCACCAGATGCCTGTTAAGAGCTTTGTAATTCGCTGGAAGCATTTATGTGCCTTTTAAGAAGCACATTACAAGGATTGTTGGAAGTGGGGTTACTATTGGTAGCGCGTGGAGAAACGGCACTATCAGTTGCAATGTTTTAAAAGAGTCCAAAACCTCTTCTCCGAGTATCCATCGAATAACTTTATTGGACTTTATTGCCTGCTAATTCAATTGTCACAAAAACATTTTCTGCATTGTCTTGTTCTGATGAGTGCGCTGGAAGCTACACCGAGAGGGATAACAATGGATACATATTTCAGCGACGTACTTCATCTTTTCAAACGCAAGTGATGAAACACGGTCGCTTTCTCTATTGCGCTTTCTGTGCCCGAGTTTCAGCAGACTATGGAGCGCGGCGCTAGCACGTTGCGGTACCCCGTGGCGAGGAGAGCATCTGGTCCAAACACCGCTCTTGATTTATATGCGGGCTACTTTCTTTTTGACGACAAACAGCTGACATCAGTAGCTCCGAAAAGAGTGAGCACTGGCCTCTGTATGCAGAGGGGGTGCCCGAAAAAAAAATTGTAGCTTCCTGTGCTTCTAAGCTTTTCTTCCCACTCAATACTAGAAAATTTCGCTGAGCTGTTCATAGCTGTGTCCGTTATCTGCAGGACGTGTTCTCTCACCAAACTAGTGGGATTGTTTACGATCCCTTCAAGGAGCCCTGTTTCACTATATCAAGGCAGCATTATCTCCCACTGGTAGAATATCAATATTTCTGTTGTACGCTGAAGAAAAACAAATTAACGCTGTAATAGAACTTGAAACTTAAAATGCAACGATACAACATTTTCGAGGATAAGCACTGTAATCACTACTCGGCCACCTTGATGAAGAGTCCTACTTGATTTAAAAGTGTTGGTTTGCTAACATTTAAGATTGGTTTCACAATGCCTTCATTGTGAAATAAATATGTATGTGTGTGTGTGTGTGTGTGTGTGTGTGTTTCTTAAATATTGTGTTTGTTACACTATTTGTTCGAGTAACACAACTTAAATTTCTGTTACTTCTTCTCGTTTTTTGTACTTCGGACGGATCTGAGCAAAAATTTGGCTGTATTCTTCAGAATCGAAACTAATTTTTATACCTTCAATTTCCAGGTGATGACGGAAGAAGAGTACGCGATCCGAAACGAGCTGGTGAACTCGCCCATCATTCAGTGTCCGATGGAGGGCTGTTCCGGAAAGTTCTCCGTCAGACCCGGAACGCGAAGACTCAACTGCCCGAAGTGCCAGATCGTGTACTGCGTCTCTTGCAGCGCGAACCACTGGGGCGTAACCTGCGAGCAGTTCATTCGTGGAGTGGCCGACGATGCACAAGGCTCGGACGTAGCGGACTATCAGGTGCGTGCTTGTATAGAGCTTGGGAATGCGTGAATAGGGATTTTCAATACCACATAAAATACATTATTGGAAACGCATATGAATAGAAACGAATGCCGGACACATTCGAGAATGAGTGTGTAAGTGAAGGAATAAAGTAACGAAGAAACAGGAAGAAGAATATGGATATTAGCTTATTCTTGGATCCCCTGGCTATTTCATTTATTTATCTTTTATTTATTTACAATACTGCTCCTCTCCTTCGAGAGCGTGGCAGTTGGGCAACACAGTAATTTTTTACACACACAAAAAAAGGATGTAGACGTAAAAACATGCAAGCATAATAACAGGACATGAGGATCATATAACCATTAGGCAGTGCAGAAGTTAAACGTTAATTATGTTATTAATACACAATGTATGTAATAATCACAAGATACAAAGCAAGTTATACCCATTACACAGAGCTGAAACCATGCCGAAAGGCTATAGAAATAAAATACATGATTGAAGAAAGGAACTTATGTTAGCATTGGTATCGTGAGGGAAAACATAAATGGAACAGTTGTGACAGGAATAACAAGCACTGAAAGCATACTTCAAAAATAGCTATACTACTGTGAAAAAAACATTGAAAGAGGTGTTGCTTTAACTAACGAACAGCAGATCTGGACCGCACAGATCTGGACCGCACAGTCCATACGCATGCGCCTGCATGCGCATAAACTGTTATGCGTGCCCAGTTTTTTCTATCTGGGCAATAAATTCTGATAGTGATTGGGAGTTTGTGATAGAGGCATTAAGTTGGTTCCATTCCGCTATCGCGCACGGTAAGAATGAGTACTTAAACGTGTCGTTCCTACATGCGTATTCTGACAACGTGCGTGCATGTTTATTGCAAGTTTGCCGAGCCTGTGAAAATGAAAGGTATTTGGATGAATCGATCTTGTAGTTATTTTTTACTAGCTGGAAAAGGAATTTTAAGCGAGCGTGTTTCGCTCTTGTGGACAGCGTTTGTAAACCTGACTGAGTTAAAAGATGTGTTGGGGAATCTGTGCATCTATATTTGTTGTAAATAAATCTTACAGCTTTCCTTTGTATTGCTTCTAGTTTGGTTATATTAGTCAGCGAATACGGAAACGAGACAGTGTTTGCATTTTCTAAAACCGGTCTTACGAATGATGTGTAAGCTAGCAGCTTCGTTGGCGTTGTTGAGAGCGCTAGAGTTCGTTTTAAGAAGAATAGTTTGCGTAGCGCCTTCGAAGTTATATTAGCGATGTGTTTGTCCCATTTGAGATCAGAAGTCAGTGTAACTCCTAGATTTTTATGTTCCTACACTTTATTAAGAAGTGTGTTATTAATGGTGTATGGGAAGTTGGATGGTTTTGTTTTTCTGCTTACGGTCATTATCCCCGATTTTTGTGTGTTTATTTTCATCTGCCATTTAGAGCACCAATTAGCCACGACAGCTAGAGAATCATTACGCATAATGTGATCGTTGTAATGATTAATTTCTCTATAGATCACACAGTCGTCCGCAAATAGCTTGATGTTGCAAGTGATGCTAGCAGTGATATCAATAATATAGAGCAAGAAAAGCAATGGTCCATGTACCGAGCCTTGGGGAACGCCGGATGTTACTGCTACTGTGTTAGAAGACATCTGTTCATAGAGTACAAATTGTGACCTGTTGAGTAAGAAAGCTTTTATCCAAGCGGAAAGTTCTCCTATTCCGAAAACATTTTCGACTTTAGCTATCAGTTTGCTGTGGCATACACAGTCAAAAGCCTTAGATAGGTCAAGTAGAATTAAGTCAGTTTGACCACGGTTATTAACTGTAATGGCAAGGTCGTGAACTAGTTCAGTAAGTGGAGTTACCGTCGATAAACGACTTCGAAAACAATGTTGGCTAGGGGAGAAAAAAATTATGTGCTCTAGAAATACTGTCATGTGTTTTAAGATTATGTGTTCGAGTAGTTTACATGATGTGCTGGTCAATGTATTAGGTCTGAAATTTGAAAATTGTGCGGCGTCTCCTCCTTTATGGATCGGTATCACCTTTGGGATCTTCCAATCGTTAGGTAGTTGTGAAGTCGTGAGTGATTTTCGGAAAATGAGACCAAGATATTTGCTACACCATTCTGCATATCTTTTCAGGAAACTGTTCGGTATATCGTCTGTTCCACTACTGTTTTTAGTGTCGAGCTTAAGTAGCAGGTTGAAAATACCAGCATCAGCGATGCTGGTATTTTCGTCGACTTTCGTACGATGTTGCTCTTCTATTGGCGGAATAACGTTATCATCAACGGTAAACACCGATCGAAAAAAATCGTTATATGCGTTGGCTTTAACAGTTTTTTCTTCTGGAAGGAGATGCGATGCTGCTGTTTTAGTGGCGCGAAAGTGATTCCAGAACCTGCAGGGATTATTTAGAAGGAACGTAGGTAGTGTCTCGTCAAAATAGCGTTGTTTAGCACGTTTAGATTTGTGCCTAAATTCCGCGATGGCATCCGGTAGCTTTCGAATTCTGGATTCTCCCCCGCCTTTTGTTTTTATTGCTCTACGTAACCTTTTCAAACGTCGCTTCGCCTGAATAACTTCGCGCGTGATCCATGCATTATTTTTTGGCGGGCGTTTGACTTTTGTAGGTATGTCGTACAAAAACGTACGACAGATTTGAAGTGAAGCCAAAGGGAATCGACATCTACTGATATATTCAACCCCATTTCTGAGAAATACAGGAATTCATGAGCGAGATGAGTTAGTATGCTATTGTCATCAGCGTTTTCGAAGTTTGTTACTACGGATACAGAAGAATGAGTGGTCATGGTGCCACCAAGAGGAACTACGCACACTGGTACGTCGTGGTCAGATATTACGCGGGTTACATCAATTCTTATGCGGTTTATGTCGAAATGGTCGCTGAAAAATATTAGATCAAGCATGTTCTCAGTTACTCCCTGCGAGCGAGTAAGCTGCGAAACGACCTGACATTCGAAGCTGATGACGTATAGCACATACTATCCCAGTTAATGCCTGGAAGATTAAAATCACCCATGAGTACAACACGTGAACCGTAAGCATGACGTTGCATGTAATCATGAGTTGCACTGATAGAATCGCCACCGAGTTTGGGCTTCGATAAACACAACCTAACAATATGCTGGTACCGTCACAAAGTAGTTTACAAAAAACCGCTTTAGCAGTTTGTACCTCTGGAAGGGTACAAAATGCTATACTACCCGCTGAGAAAAATTCGGAAAGTGGGAGCAGGTGGGCTGCTCCAATGAAGACTTGTTTGTTTCCTACCTAGAACATCCCTTCTAAAGTCAAATTCCACCAGACTTGCGTTCCGAAAACGCGGTGGCGCTGTCTTGGTAGGAAAACAACGCTCTGCCTACCGCAGTTTCTGCTGGGTTTTTAAAGGTGCATGTGGTGTTTTCAGTTAAGCAACAAGAAAAAAAAAATGGCATGCCGACGAGCTGCGTCGTGGTTGGATGTGAGTCGCGTCACTGAACTTAGTTTCGTTTGTTGGTGCACATAACAGCCCTCAGCGCTTACGGCTTTCACAACGCTTATGGCGTCTCACAACGTCGTTTTGTTGGCGCACATCTGAGCCCTCAGCACTTATGGCGGAAGTTACGTGTGGACGTCGCTATAATTTTACCCATTTGTCGACATTGGCCTACCTGTGTTTACAAACATGGAATGGGTCTATAACGCCTTCGGCTAATGCGGGGAAGTCCTTGTCTAAAGAATGAAAGTGAATAACAAAGATCACTAAAAAAAAGCTTGATATTGATCGTGCAGTTTACTGTCAGGCACCTGCAGCGTGGCCAAGGAGGATTAAAAAAATTGCTGGAGTGGAAATGATTGCGCAGAAGTGAAGCCGTTCCTCTGGCAAGATGGCGGCTATGGCAGCCATCTTACTATGGGCATGCTAAAGTATCATCATTCAGCGATTTAAAACGAAGCGTTTCTCTCGCATGCCCAACGAGTTTAATGTGGGATCTTTTTCGGGTCACATAGTGCTCTAAGTGCGTCTTAAAGTTACTAGTTTTTCATAGGGAGCCTCTAGATGGAGGCAAAGTTCTTTGAAGATTCAGCCATACATACTTGATTCTGTGTTATTTCATCGGGAACAACTATCCTTTAATATAGAACTAACGTAGCATATACATAACGCATCAAAGTCGCTTGATCTTTAGGTGCGCACTATCAGAAAGAGCATGTTTCCGCCATCTTGTCAGTGGCAAAAGGTGGCTTCACTTCTGCTGGCAAGGCATTATGGGAGCTTCCACTCCAGCAATTTTTCTTTCATCCTCCTTGAGCGTGGCTTTGTTGTACTGGCAGAACCACCGCATATCCGTAATTACTTTGTTCCAATGCTCAACATACATGGCTAAATAGTCAGCTAAATGGACGGCGGCCATATTAAGTCCCATTCCAATTTTCACGTAGCCGGCAAAATAGACAGCTCCGAGAAAACCGCATCGTAGACAAATACGATGCAGGCTACTTTGCTGTCTAAACAAGATGGCGGCTTAGCAAATCGCTCAAATGGGTCAAATCTCGCGGGAATGGTCGTGTGTACACAGATGCTTTTTCAGACGGTCAATGTGAGTAACGTTTATTGTTTTTGATTTCAACATGAAATAAGCCAGAAGATAGAACTGTTACGTTTGTTTATTTTAGCTTTCTCTTTTCGACTTGAGGTGGTGCATCGTCGCATAAAAGCCATCCAGAAGTGTTCCGATTCTCGGACAGTATGGGCTCGGTGCTGTCTTCTAAGCAGTCTACGTAGACTGTCTACGTGCTGTCTAAGAGTTGGAACACAGCCAATGTGTACCCTCACTTGTATTAGCGCTTCAAGAGGACACTCTCCAGGTTTGAAAATTGTGAGCTGACAAGTACAATGTGTGGATGAGGCGTCCAAGGTCACATCTGCCAAAATTTGGAATGCAACGCGGCGCGGAAACGGGTTAAATTTCAAGATGAACGCTGCTCCTTCTTCCTTTCGT